CATCTTCTGGGAGGAGTTGGGTGAGCAAACAGCATCCAAAGAGCCATTTCATCCAGGCAGGGAGGCACAGGGAGGAGATGGAGATGGATCAGCTCAGCCCCCAGCCTTGATCCAGGCATTTGCTGCTCTTCCCCACATTCCCCTTCACTTTAATCCTTGCTTATAAATCTTTCCAGCCTGTGGGAATGAAATTCAGACTTTTGTGTATTTACTAATTGAGAAGATGGATGGCTCAGGGTGGGTTTTTTCCTATTAAGCTTTTTCTGCCAAGCAATTTACTCCATATGACAAAGATTTTTACTCCACTTGGGCAGTTTTATCTGGTTTTAAACTTGCTATTAATATTTTTCCCTGAAAAGATTAGATGGTAAAGAGAGGGCAAAGGTTTCCAAAAGTCACAAAGAAACACAAACCCTCCAAATAGAAAAAATAAAAGTAGCTTAGAGCTATCAGGGTGAACTGTCTGGTTGGTCTGCAACAAAGCATCATTTGAATTTAGCAGTTGCAGAAGAATTTGAAAGGGATTGGTTTTAAATTCGCCACCAGAGACAATGTTTTTATTTCCAAATTGCCAGCAAACCCAAAAAAATTCATTTTCTTCTCTGCCTATTTGTAAGGGAATATTCACTGGGGTATTTGATAGCTGTAATTTACTTTCCAAGCTGTGTAATTAGCCACCTCAATCAAACAGCATCATTTCTATCTCTGCTCGAAGAATAAACCATTCCAGTGCACAACAAACCCTTTGCCTCGATTTGAGCAAAGCCCAGGAACAGGCTGGAGTTCTGCAGCCAACTTCTGCTTTCAGAGATGCTCATGCTCATCACGGGCTCTGAAAGCTTCCTGGGGAAAAAGAAAGGGAAAAGTGGGGCTGGTATTGACCCCAGGCTCTTGCTCATCTCCCTGTAACACAACCAGCTCAGGGAGGATGTGTGCTGGGGAATGTTCATTCCCTGGACTGCAGATGTTGGGGTTCAGGACTGGGAGATGGAGCATCAGGGTTACCCAGAGGTTTCTCTTTTTACACCTGAAACCACCAGAAGTAGTGCAGAACAATTTTTTTTTTCTGTTTTTTTTTTTTTTGTGGATAAAGAACACTTCTTTCTCACAGACACATTTCCCACAAAGGTGAGGAACTGGAAATCTCCAGGGTCCCATTTCCCTGCTGTGAGGGGCTCAGAGCTGTCTTTTATTGTCTTTGTGGTTTCACACCCAGAGCTGTGGGTGTAAAACCCTGCTCAGCCCCATTTCCATGTCTGGGCTGGTCTGCTTTGGGATTCCAGGCTGGGTTCAGGTTCTGTGGTGATTTCAGATCACACCTGAGCCATTCTTTGCCAGCCCAGCTGATCTGGAGCCAGTCCCAGGAGACTCCCGGGCGTTACAACCTCCCCCTAAACACAGGGAGAGCAAAACAAGGGAAATTGCCTTGTAAAAACCACAAGGACTTTGGGCTTTCTCCTTCTGGCTGGAGCTCTTAAATTCAAGGCTGGCTCTGGAGCCTGCGCAGTCCCTGGCAGACTTGAGAGACAGAACTTTTCTTCCCTCTCCTCCTTAGCATAACAATCCCTTGTTAACATAATAAGATTAATTCTTGTGCTGCAATCAGGAAGCCACACTTTCACCGAGCCCTAAATAATATCATTCCCTTGCCACGTTTATAAAGTAGCAGGGGGTTTTTTTCTTTCTTTTTTTCTTTTCTTTTTTTTTTTTTTCCCTTTGCATTGAAAAAAAATGGAAATCTTGTAATCTTGAGATAAATATAACGGTGTGGAAGCTTCCCATTCTCCTCCAATCTGATTGCAGTGGCAGCAAAAGGACATGGGCCTAATTAAAGTGCCAATCAAGCAAAAATGGGATTCATTGTTTTTATACAAATGCTCCCTTTAACCCTTTGCAGCTCGTTCATCATTTTCTAATGCACTGCTTTTTATCTCCTCAGCAAAAAAAAAAGTCCAAGCCAGGTTCCAGAGCGAGTCTGGAGGATGAAAAATCGCCAAAAATGATATTAAAAAGCAGAACTGGTGATGAGGACAGTGTCCAGCAGCCTCAGCACATCCTTGCCATCGCGTTTTGCTGCTGCCAGCTCCCCTCCTGCAGCCACCGGAGGAGCTGCCGAGCTCCCGCCTCCCCTCCAGCGGCCCTGCCGAGCTGGGAAAGTTCCGTGGGACAGGAAACGCAAGGATCAGACGGCAATTCCCAACAAGCACCAAGGCAGTCCAGAGTCTGTCATGTTCAGCCATGCAAACAGCGCCCTTACCCAGAGTTTTAGTAGTTTTCCAGTGGATTGGGACGATCTGCCCATATCTGAATATCACAAATCTCCTCGGGGCAGGTGTGGAGGCTGAAATCTGGCCCCAGTGCTTCTGTAACACCAGCAGGACATCAGTGAGACAATCCCAGGCACATCTGGGCACATCTGGGCAGTGAAACAGGAGCTGGGAATTCCAAAGGCTGGCTGGTGCTCCCTGTGTCTGTTCACAGCAAGGAGTGCTGGCACGGTGGCAATTCCCTCTTATCCCAGGAAATACCTTGTGGAGCTTCACCCTGGGGCTCCAGAGCCATCCCTCTGCACCACCAACTCCTCAGAGGTGCCCCATAAATCCCAGTTTCCAGCAGCACACCCAGCCCATCCGTGCACAACAGCCCAGCAGATCCAGCTCGGCTGCTTTAACCTTGCATGGCAGCGGCCGCTGACAGAGAGGGGAAGCAGCAGAATGCAAAGCACAGCATTAAAATAACTTTGCATTAAAAGACCTGCATGAAAGGCAGCCAAAAAGCCTCCAGGGAATGGCCTGGACACTGATCTGGGTGAAGTTAGGAAGGGCCTATCAAGAGCCCTGTCAGGGATGGGGTTTGGCCATTTCTGTGCCTTCGATCCCCAGGGTCCCCAGCGCTGGCTGGGATGGCCCCAGGCTGTGAGAGGAGCAGGGTGGCTGTGGGAGGCATGGCAGGGATCCACAGATCACAGAACCTCCTGAGCTGGAGGGACCCACAGGATCATCCAGGGCAGCTCCTGGCCCTGCCCAGACCCCCAGCAAACCCACCCTGGGCATCCCTGGAGCTCTGGCAGCCTCGGGGCTGTGCCCATTCCCTGGGCAGCCTGGGCAGTGCCAGCACCCTCTGGGGGCAGAACCTTGCCCTGATCTCAGCCTGCCCTGCCCTGGCCCAGCCCCAGCCGTGCCCTGGCTCCTGTCCCTGTCCCAGGGCAGAGATCAGAGCTGCCCTCGGGAGGAGCTGCAGCCCCTGAGCTCTGCCCTCATCTCCTCTGCTCCAGCTGCACAGTCCCAGTGCCCTCAGCTGCTCCTCCTGTGGCCCCTCCAGATCCTTTCCCCTCTCTGGGTCCCTCCTTTGGACGCTCTCCAACAGCTGGAGATTGATTCATTTTGTGGGGCCTCCCCTGCCCCCAGCACGGGAGCTGAGGCTGCCCCAGGCCCAGCCCAGCAGGACAGTCCCTGCCTGGCCCAGCTGATGGCCCCAGGGCACGGTGGCCTTTGGGCTGCCAGGGCACTGCTGCCTCATGCCCAACCTGCCCTCACAGAGCTCCCAGGTCCCTTGCTGTGGTGCTGCTCTCCAGCCCCTCATTCCCAGCCTGGCCCTGCACCCAGGTGTGCTCCAGGGGGATCTGCCAGGGCCCTGGGAGTTCACTGAGCGGCTCCAGGGCAGGCTCAGGCTGGAGAGCAGGGAAAGCCCCCAGGGCATCGCTCACAGCCGTGATGGAGCAGGAGAGGTCCCAGTTCCATCCCTGCTCCTGACCCCCAGCTCCAGCCTTGCCCACAGCTGCTCCCCTCAGACAAAGGGGAGGCCAGGCTGGCGCAGGCAGCTCTCCCCACCAGAGCCCAAAATGCCATCCGAGCTCTTTTCTTTCTTGTTTTTAACCCTCAAAGCTTCTCCCTGCCCTCCCCTGGCTGTTCCCAGGCCCTGCCTGTGGCTGCCCACATTGCTCCAGACCCACTGCACAAGAGCTTCATGGAGTGCCGCAGGCTGAGGGGCCTTGGCAGCTCTCCACATGGCAGGAACAGGAGACAAGGAGAGAAAAGAGCCCAGGCTCTCCCACTGATCTGCTTCCCTGGCCTTCCCTGGGCTGTTTTCAAAGAGGATCCGGGGGGAGCTGTGGAAAGGGACTGGCATTTTTGGCTGGGGTTGCTCTGGAAAGTGAGGCAGCACCAGAGCTGGAACACTCAAACTCCTCTCACAGCCTGGGCAGAGGGGCAGCAGAACTGGGGAATTTTGAGAGGCAGCTGCCTTCACTCTTGCAGGGAAAATCAGTGGCAGCAGTGTCTACCTGGGGCCAAGTGAAAAGGTTTTCTTTTTTTTCTCCCTGTTTTCTGCCCTCTCCAAGAGCGTCTCAGCAATGGGGTGACCTCCTGGGAGTTCAGCCTCCTGCCTCAATGGCCCTGGTTTGCTGGTAGGAAAAACACAGCCCCAAATATCCCCCCAAAACCCCAGCCTGCCATCCCCAGGGATATCCTTGGCACCTCCACGACCTCTCAGCCCCAAAACTGCAGCGAGGTCCTGCAGGGTGGGACAAGGGCTGTGCCTCTCTCCTGCTGTTTGGAGGGACAGCTGCACCTTCCTCCATTCCTTTATCCCATATTTTGCTTTCCAATCAGGACTCAGCCTACCTTAGAAGCATTTGTGCTGTGAGCAGGTGACAAATGGGAGTGGTGCTCTGCAGAGGGGAAACTGAGGCACAAGGGATGTGTTTCCTTAAAGCCTGGGAAGGCTTTAAGCCTCTGAAACAGGAGCAGGAAAACCTCCAAGTCCCAGCTCCATGCCTTTCCAGCAGGACTCTGCACAGCTTTCACTTGTCATGTGTATTTTTAAATGACAAGGAAAAGATTTTCTAAACCAGGGAAACGTGATTATTTTCCTCTCTCTCTCTCTTCCAGGTGCTTGGCTTAGCGTTGTAATACCACAAGAATGAAATCCATCTGAGTTGCTGTTGTCCTGCTGCTTAAAACCCCATTTTCTGTCAATATTGCTTCATTTTGATCAAGCTGCTTACATGTTTTATATTATTCTCTTTTTTCTCCCCCCTCCATTTTGCTGCAGCATTTTCAGAACATTTTGCTTCTTGCACTTCACAGTAAATACTTCTCAGTAAATAGCCTGGAAGTAAGAGAGGCAAAGGCACGAGAAAGTCTGGGCTTTCATTGTTGTGGTGTTTCATATCTATTACACTTGTCAATGTGGAATATAAAAAAATTAAAAATAGGGGGGAGCAGGGGGGAAAAGAGGAATTTGCCTGTTTTATCCCCACTGATAGAGGGGCGATAAAAGGAGGAAGGGAGAGGTTGAACCTCTGCTCTTTCCAGCTTCTGGAACTGCCCTTTGCCTTTAGATACTGCCCAGGGCAGGAGTGTGACCCCAGATTCCACAGGGGAGACGTGGACACGGCCCCAGCATGCCCAGGTGGGGAGCAGGGGGTGCAGAGGGACCCCACGTGGGGTTTGCAGCTGCAAACGCACCCTGGGCCCAGCACTGGGGCAGAGCTGCCAGCACCAGCTTAATATTCCTCCCCAAAGGCTGCTCCCCCCAGCTCCCTGATTTTCTCAGCTTTTTAATTGGAATGATTCATTTCCTTCCACAACACAGAGCAGATTTAAATGAGATATCCGAGAGGAGCAGCTAATAATCAGTTTGCACTCGATTTGCTCTCCTGAATCAGGTGGAGAGGAGCTGATCTTGCAGGACGCTGCTCAGGCTGCAACAAGCCAAAATTATGTCAAAAAGCTGATTTTTTTTTTTTTTTTTTCATGCCTGGTCCTCTAAATCAAATTTGACTACCAATGTAGTTGAAACCACAGAGGTAATCAGTTAATAAAACTTCGCACTTACCTGCTACTTCCACTCAAGGATTTAAAGCCCTTTGCAAAGGTCAGTATTGCAATGATGAGAATTTTCCAGCTGAAATGTTTTCACTGGGAAGGAGAAAGAAGAAGGGGAAAAAAAAAAAAAAGGAAGAGAAAAATATTCATGATTCCTGGAAGTTAAAAATTCTGCTGTTTTGGATGCAGGCAAGGAATAATATTTTTTGTGAAAGGAAAAGAAGAAATTGCCATGCAAATGTTAATGGTGTTTTGAAGCTTCACAGGAAAGCCTGACTTGTGTAGCAGCCTTAATATACATTAGTACCCCTCGTCTGCAAGCAAACAACATTTTGCAGAATAAACTGAAACACAACAGGGAGAGCCTTGGAATTATTTAGAAATCTAATTCCCACTGAAATCAGGCACTGAGCAATTTATTCCACGCACATTTAAATCAGTGCTGCTGCCAGAAAAAAACACACCAAAAAATGCACCACCTGTAACCTGCTAGGCACAGGGACACCACTGCAGCTGTGGCCACTGCCAGAATCCCTGCCAGGGCTGGAGGTGATGTCCCGGTGGAAAATGCATTCCAGGAGTGCCAGTCTCCCTTAGAGTAGAGAAATGCAGGAATTGGACAGTTCTGACCAGCCAGCCCCACTTCTGCACCTCTTTCTGCCAGGGACACGAGCAGGCAGGGATGGGCAAACCAGCACACGTGGACAAACCCAAATAAGCTTGATTTCCTTAGGGATGCAGGCTAAAAATAATAATAAAAGCTCTTTATTTGCAGGGTGACTCCCCCTGCGCTGAGAGCAGAGCCTGCGTGCGGTGCTTGTGTTTCAATCAATAAAACTCAGCTCCACGCTGCTCCTAAGCCAGGTTTAACCACCTGGCACCAGTTTAGCTTGTTAGCACAAGTGGATTTTAGAAAGTTATCCTTTTTTAGCCAGCCCAGGACTGGTAGCCATGGTTTGACCATGGTCCCACCAAGGTAAGCAGGAAGCCCCAGAAGAGCAGGAAGAGCTGTGCAGCCTTTTTTCCAAACTCACCTTGCAGTAATTAGAGTCCACAGCTGTAATTACTTTCTCATTTTGGTTTAATAATTGCCTCAGCCATCCCTACATGCCCCTCAGACTGGTGATGAGGGAGGCTCTGGCATCAGTAGACATATAAAGTGTAGTGGTAAGCAATGACTTTATTGGGTGGGTTTGATTTTTGGGCACTTCTGCTCTGCCCCCAAACTCCTGCTGGGTGAAAATGAAAATAAAGAAGGTTAAAAAAACCCAAAAAAGATAAAAATGGTGATTAAAGGAGGGAAAAGGCCCTTTTGTCCCTTTGCCTAGTCCTGCAAAATGACAGCAGGAAGTGCTTGCACAGGGTCCCCCCTTACAAACAAAACTTTATTGGGGGGAGAGGTGTATTTTTTATTTTTCGTTCCCAGCTCCAATGTATGTTTTTATGATGGTGTGAAGAGCTGCTGCTCCCCTCCTGGAGGAAATGAGGGTGCAGCTCTGGGGGTCTCAAAGAGGACTCACCCCCCCCCAATCTCCAGCTCCCTCTGGACTTGTGGGAAGTTGTTGGATATAATTTATCTCCAGGGGGGTGGACACGACATACACACATTATTGACATACACACATTATGTCCCGCTCTCTTTTCCTGGGATTTTGGGAGTATTTTTGGGAGCATTCCCCTGTATTTCAGGATGAGGCTCTGGGTACCCCCCAGGAAGGCACAGACTGTAGGAGGGCTTCTCTTATTTTTCATTCCCAGCTCCAATGTATGTTTTTATGGAGGTGTGAAGAGCTGCTGCTCCCCTCCTGGAGGAAATGAGGGTGCAGCTCTGGGGTCTCACTGAGGACTCCCCCCCTCCCTCTGCACTTGTGGGAGGTTATTGGATATAATTTATCTCCGGGGGGTGGGGAGGGGGATGACATACACACATTATTGACATACACACATTATTTCCCCCTCTCTTTTCCCGGGATTTTGGGAGTATTTTTGGGAGTATTCCCCTGTATTTCAGGGGGAGGCTCTGGGTGCCCCCCGGGAAGGCACGGACTGTAGGAGGGGTCCAGGGGTGCCGTGATCGATGGGCACCGACCCCCACACCCTGAATTGACCTGGGGCGGGCAGAGCCGTGCAGGTGTTCGCGCTCCCGCTTTAGGTGCCCCGTTGGGGCGGCGGCAGCTCCGGGAAGGGGGCGAGCATCACCTGAGGCAGGAGCATCCCCAGCCCAGCCTCACCCCCTGGCTGCGCGGCGCTTTGGGGAGGGGGCGATGCGCGCTCGTTCCTCCCCGCTGCGCGCAAGTTACTCCCCCTTTCCCCGGCACTTTGGCTCCCTCCCCTCCCTTCCCCCCCCGCTCCAAAAGCCGGGCTGCGCCGCCGAGGCTCCGCCAGTGAAGGCAGCGCTGCTGGGGGAGGGAGGAGCTGGGGGGGCGGCGATGGAGCGGAGCCGGCGGGCGGCGGCCTGAAGCCCCCGCCGGCAGCGGCAGCGGAGCCCGAGCCCGAGCCCACCCTGAGGAATGAGCGCTCTCCAGGCTGACCTGCTCCTGCTGCTGCTCGGCTGCCTCCTGCTCAGCCACGGTAGGAGCCCGCACTTTGCGAGCGGGGCGGACCCGGGGGGGTCCCCGGCTCGGGGTGGGGTGCGGGGGCTGCTGTGGGGAGAAGGGTGCGGGGGAGAGACAGGGAGGATTGCAGAGTTTTTCCCTCCTGCATCCCCGCCGAGGCGCCTTACCGTTCTTTCCTTTAAAAATAAGCGAAAAATCTTTAGTATGCAAATGAGTGCTTTCTGTTCCAGCTCGGTAAATTGGATCGTGTTTGTGTGTAAACACGGCTTGGCTGAATAACAGCCCCCCCCTGGCCCCCATCGCCGCCCGGTGCTCCCCCCGGTGCAGGAGGGCGATGGATGCTCAGTTTCGGTGCAGCGGAGGAGCCGCTCGGGCTGGCGGCAGCGGCTCCAGCCCGGGGACAGGAGCCTGCGGCTGTGGAGCCGGGCTGGGGAGCGATTTGTGCCAGGGGGTGCGAGGAAGGAGAGTTGTTCCAATGCGGGCAGCCCGGGGGAGGTGGGCACCCCGCGGGGGTGTCACAGCCCCGCGCCGCCTCCCCACGGCGCGGGCAGCAGCGTGGGCATCGCAGGAATGCACCCCGCAACTTTACAACCTGCTTGATTCCCACGCAAAAAAAAATTAAAAAAAAAAATTTAATAAGAAGGATCTGTGAAGGGGGTGCGTTTTGGGAAGCTGTATCTGGCATGCTGCTGTGTGCCTGCTCCCTGGGCTATCTGTCACCTGTGGAGAACGCTGAGCTGCAGCCAGACCCCGGCTTCGCCTCTGTGCTGCTCATCCCCCCAACGCCGGTGTCAAATCCCATCTGTGTCACGCCGCCGTGGTCCCCACGCCAGCTTTTGTGAGGGTACGGCTTGGGGATGCTTGGGAAAAAAAAGAAAAAGGGATAAAAAAACCCCAAACCCACGCAGCCAGTCCATCTGTTGATTAAATGAAGGATAAAACTTTTGGAGAGAGTAGTGCTTCTCCACGGGCAGCTGGTTTTTTGCTCAGCCAGACATTAGTGCTGAACATCCCCCACCATACGCTGGGTTTCACCCTATTCCCCGAGCAGGGACGCCTTGTTTGTGGTGTCTGTGCTCCTGGTTATCCTTCCCTCCTCTTTTCCTGGGCTCGGATGTGATGTTGGGCTCCTACACTGTCCTCCCTTCCCCTTTTCTCTTCCCCTCACTCTCTGCTTGTACTAATATTCCTTCGGGGAGGAAGCTGTGTTTGCATTTGCCTTTGCTGCTGCACAAAAGAAACCCACTGTGTCCTCCGTGTGGGTTTCTGGCTGAACAAATCTGAACTCTCCTGGTACAGCAGGGCAGCGGCGGGGCCGGGCACGGCAGCGATTCGGGAGCTGCTCCCGGCCTTCTGCACCCTCCCTGCCCACACGGACCCCGTCAGTCCCTGCAGGTCAAATGGCACTTTGCTAGCGGGGCTGCAGAAGTTTGTGAGCAGCATCCAGCCGGGATTTGTTGGGCTCTCCCCCCGCTCCTTCCTTTTGCAGCCATGATTTTAATGTGGGTTAATGCACTTTTTAATAGCGCTGGTGCTGGGAAGCCACGGCGGCTCCTCGGCTCTGCTGCCTGAGCTCAGCTGCTTTGACTCCTGCAGGATCGTGCAGCTGGTACCTGCTTATTCATGCCGGGTTAGGAGGCACAGAGAGTGCCTTGCAGAGCGTTTTCTCGGCTGGTTTCTCTCTCCAGGATGAGCCAGGAGCGTTTCTGTGGAGTTGCCGTTCTCCGTGCACCACAAAGGCGCCGTCGGCAGCGCCGTGGCTCTTCCTGTGGGGTGAAACAGTGCAGGGGATCCCTAACAGGGTTTAATGCACGGGATTCCTGCAGCCACACGGTGCTGAGGGGCAGGAAAGGCCTGGGTGGAGGTGCTGAAGCTGCTTTTCCAGCAGGTGTGTTGTGTTTGCCTCCCCTCGAGCAGTGTCCAGATGTGGTGGCACTGGCTGGCTGTGACAAAGGTGTCCCTAAGGTGAGGGCATGGGACACCCCATTTACCTGTTTCAGGGGGGGGATGCTGTGTGGACACCCACGGGGCAGCCCTGCCTTGCCCAGGAGGAGCTGGTGGTCCAAAACTCACTTCAAGGGACAACCTAAATCACTTGGCTCTGCCCTTCAGGAGTTTCAGGAGCTCCTTTTTGTGGGCAAGGGGCAGGCAGGGCTGTGTTTTCTTGTCAAAGTGGCTTGAAGGGATTTGCCATAATTAAATCCCCCCAAGCCAAGGGCAGCAGGGCTGGAAGGATCACCTGTGCTGAAAAACCTCACTTGGGATCTCTGGTCTGAACAATACTTAACAAAAAATCTCCTTATCCCAAACCTCCCCAAAAGGACATTTTCCATCACGGGATTTGTACACCTGTGCCCTTGGGTTTGTATTTCATGGGCATCCTGGTGATATCCAGGCGTCCTGCTGTTCATGCAGGCTGGAATTTGGGCTTCCAATGCAGCTGGCAGGAGGAGGAAGGAGGAGGAAGCTGCTTTTTGCTCCTCTCTGGGGCCGTGCTGCACCTGGGTATGGCTCAGCCTGGGAGGGAGGAGGATCTGTCCCACAGCTCACTGCTCCAGGGGACCTGGAGGACAGACTGCCTTCTCTGGAGCATCCTCTGTCTTTCCCCCTTGCAAATGGTCTGAAGCAGCCTGTGCTGGCTGTTTCTGAGAGTTGTTGGGTCAGTGCTCCAGGGCTGCTTTGCCCTGGGACCACTCACTCTTCCACCCCATCCAGGCTGCCAGGGCCAGGCTTTGGTGGGAGGGAGAGAAAGTCCCAGCACAAGTGGCCTCCTGTGGAGATGGGATGTGTGGGACCCTTGGTGGGAAGGAACTGCTGCTGCCATGAATCTGCCTGGGGAATAACTCAGCCATCCCTCCCCTGCTGCAGTGCCAGCCAAACTGGGGGAGGCTGGAGACAACTGGGGAAGTGTCTCGGTGTGGGAGCTGGGGCTGTGGGGAGAGCAGCACTGAAGATGAACCTACAGCCACCCCCTCCTCTCACTGACCTGTACTAGGTGGATTTGGCAGCATCTTAAATTTACCTTGGATGGGAAGATTTCTGCCTGTCTGGGGCTCTCTTTCCAAAGGCATGTTTGCTTTCCCTCGGGGTGATGAATACCGAGTTCTCTGGGTGTTGCAGGGTATGTTTTTCTCCTTCACAGTTCACTTGGTTCCTCCCTGGAAGCAAATGCTTTACAATCTTCTGTCAGAGGGGCCCGTTAGCAGCAGCAGTGGCTCAACTTCCCACTGGCTCAGCAGCAGCCCCCAGGTGGAGAAGGGTGAAATTATGCTGATGAGAGAAACCAGGCCAATTCCACCCACCAACACTGATTAGGACCAAGAGATGAGGATTTTCACATCTTGGGGGTGGTTAGTGGGTGATGGGGAGGGAAAGTACAAGGTTTGGGGTGCTGGGAGTGTGTGTGCCAGAGCTGGGGCACTTGGGAGGTTTCTGAGTCTGACAACCACGAGTCTGTCAAGGAAAAGCCTGGAAATCTGTGGCTCTGGTCCCTCTTCCATGTTAATTCCTCCTGCCATGTGGGGAGCAGGGCAGCTCT